ACCTACCTATCTGGGAAGTATAAAATTACCTCATGAAAGTGAAAACTCTTCTTTAAACTTCAATTTCCCTATTTTAAAACTGATTTTAAAGTACAAATGTTCTAAAAATATGTTTGGAGTCTCAAGATAAATTACCAAAAGTTAACAATTGTGTGTGTGTGTGTGTGTGTGTGTATGTGTGTGTGTTTCTTCTATTAGAATTTAGCAACAAGTTTAACTATTTTTTTCCTGGTCATTGAAATATAAACTGAAAAAATTTTCAATTGAAATGTCAACTTAAATAAACCTGTAAGACAGCTAACCATATTAAAAATTACTTCCCAAAGACTGATTTCACAAATTTAAGACCTAGAAAATTTTAAACATGTAAATACCTGTTCTCTCAGTTACAGTAATAAAATGTTAAGATTTTTAAAATATATTTGACTTTTTAAAAATATTGTATTTACAACAAAATTCTATTCATAGCAATTCAAGGAATATACTTAGAGTTTTTATGAAAAATAGATAATTAAATCCTTATTTAATAGGAAGTATCTGCACTGATATTTTTAATCCACACAAATGGAATTTAAAAATTTGCAAAAGTTTCTTTTAAAGATGTACAGTTTTGAAGTGTTAAGCTTTTCTAAATTTTAGCATTGTAATTTAAAAAGTTCTAACTTCTGCAGGAAGGAGAGTACACTTCATTTAGCCAAGAAATTTCCATTACTTCTAGATTAAGAAGCCACACCCCATACAACTACTGACAGGAAAACATTTTAATTCAAACCTCTAACACTACCCAGCCTGAAGCAAAGTTAAAAAAAAAAAAAAAGAACACAAAAATACAAGCACAGCTCACATTTTCAAAGAAAGGAAACTCTCACTAAATAAGTAGCAATTATGCTGAAGAATTTATATGCTAAAGCACGAATGAATATAAAAACACCAGAGCAGTCAACCATAGCTTTAGCACTTTGAGTATGATTAACAGAATGAACTTTCAAAGGTCAATTAAATGTCAACACACTTTAAAGAGATATTCTTAAGTCTGGTCAATGTGTAATAGCACCTCTTAATTCAGGGGTATCCTTCTGAGTTTAAGCATAATGTGCATAAGATAAATGTACATATATATGCAGAATTATAACACGTCTCCATCCAGATTACTACAGAAACTCATATAGCATCTACTCTAGAGTTTTGACTATGTTAATATTCCCCAAATTATGAAATGATTAAAAGAAAACATAAATATATTCTTATATAGCACTATCCATGAAGATGAAATGTTTATGACTAAGGTATATTAAGAAGTTGATCCTATTTATTCAACAATACAAAATCATTCCCAAGGATAATGTTATATTGTCCACAATACATATTACCCAGATACATAACTCATCCCCTACTAATGTTCTCTGAATTATTGTGGTTAAAGAGTTTGAAGAAAAGAAATATGGCATTTAAAAATTGCCAAGTTTAGCATCAGAAATTTCTGTGATAGTACAAAACAAGTCCTAAAGGCACTGAGTGCCCATCACTGACATTTCCATCCAAGAACTCAGTAAGATCTTCAATCCCATCCCACGTGAACTAGGCCAAATTGTCCAAGAACCTCACAATGAGTAGAAACCACCAAGATTATCTGGCCCAATCCTTTCCACTTAACTGATCAGTAAATATAGATCCAGAGAGGTAAAGCAACCTGGTTTGGCTCACACAGCTCCTTAACAGATGTCTTAAAGCTCAGTCCAGTGCTTTCTTCTCTACACAAAATCCATCATATACTTTTTTTTTTTTTTTCCATTAGGACTTTAAGACCAAGATATAATTGACCAAAAAAGGGTGGCTACCATCAGAATTCAGAGAAAGCTGGGAAGAAGCTAATGATCTGGGAAGGCTCCAAGGAGAAGCTAGAAATTGAGGAATGAGTAGAATCTAGGTGGTTTGAGAGGAGACATCATTAATGAGGGAAATATGGGCTAATGCATAGTGGTGAGCCTGCCATGTTCCTGGACTATGGAGACAATGTTTACAGGAAAATCAGGTTTTTAAGGCTACCTTATAAGGCAGGCAGAAAAGGTCAACCTGATGAGGGAACAAACAGAAAGTGATTAGGGGACTTTTATTTTAGAAACCTGATGTGATAAACTCAGAGAATAGTCTAGCAAAAGTTGTGAAAGAATAGAGATGGGAAGACAGAAAGACTTGAGTTGCTTCATAGGGGTCGGTTTAATAATATTAACACCTTATAGGGCTTTTGTGAGGAACAAGTGAACTGATAGGAGAGAAAGAACTCGACAAGAATAAATGCCCTAGAAAGTAAAGTTATATTAAAAGTCTGTGGGTAGGAGCCTCTCTGACCAGATCTCTGTGTTTTGATGACATACACTTCTCTATAAAAGCAAATTTGGAGATGAACTGTGGATCTATTCCTATAAGATCATACAATCTCTTTGCTTTAATATTTCTAAAAGCTAGTTCCCAAGGGGGAGAGACAGCTGCCATCCTTAAGCCCCTCCAAGGCAATAGATCAGTAATGCTAAAATTCAAAACTAGGATTCTGTCTTTGAGGCAGACCCATAATCAGTGTTTCTCAAAGTGAGTCAAGAAAGTATATAATTAAGTGCTAAAGGAGGAGAGTAGAAGAGACAGCACCTGGGCCAAGGAGGTACATGATGAAAGTTATTAGCTGGCACCGTAGCACTGCAGTCCACATCCTTTCCTACCTTTTCCCTCTGCTCAACAACTACTTAGCAATGTGACCTTCCATTGTGTCCACAGCTACTTATCTTCTCCTGTGTTGTCTTCCTCTCTTTTCCTTCTTCTACAGCAACTCTCCAGGGCTACAAAGAAAATTTGAAAAAGTTACTATAATAAATTAAAAGCTACATATATTGAATATATACTGTGTGATTTATTAGCTGATGAGTTTTAGTTTATAATCTTACATAATTTACAAAACAACTCCTACGCGGTAGTACTATTATCTTCATTTTTCAAGTAAGGAAACTGAAACTTAGAGAGTCAAGGATGTAGACTGAAGCCACCCAAGCAGTAAATGGCAAAAGTAGGATTGCAATCATGACTGGTTGACTCCTCAATCTATGTTTTGAACCTCTCTTCTAAACAATCGCGGTTCCCCCTGTCCCCTTTTAACTGATAAGCTTGAAAATCCTCACTTATATATATACTGGGCATTTATAGATAGAGATTAGGAGCTGTTATATGAATTTGTAGATTAAGTTTTGACAACCGAGAACAGAGGTGCCTGGGCTTAGCCACACTTGCTTTCCAAGTTATCTGCTTTAGGACTAAAATTTTTTAAATGTGAGGCTTAAAGGATGTTGAGGGGACGGCCCTCCATCCAGCATTCTTGTCTGTTCTCTCTCAGGTCATCTGTCCCTTAGGGTCCATTCCCAACCATTTGCTTGGAAACTTTATCTCCCTAGTTGAAGAGAAGGCTGGGACTGCCACACCCACAAATCACCAACAAGCTAGGGAGGATGGTGGAAGTATCCCACTAGTAGGCGAGATCTGTGAACCCGGGTCTCTTGAGCCTTGTGTCTCAAAGCAGCTTTAACTCTGCTCATAGGTGGTACATTCTATGTTGATTTATCTGCAAAGGTGGTTTCAAGAGGGGTTTCCTGGCCACAGGGCCCAACTAAGAGGTAAGGCCAACGTGTCTAGTGCTAGAGGGGAAATGATCAGAGCAGTGAGCATCTGGGGGCCTTTTTAACGTTGCTAGAAGAAAGCCACATGGGCATTACAACTGTGGCAAGAAAACTCTAACACTAATTCTTAAAATTTAGTGTGATTAACTGTCACTTTTGAAGGAGCTCATTAACTCATTTATGCTGGAGGTTGGTTGCAAAATTTTTTGTGAAAAATTGGACCTTGGTGATGACCTTGAGCAGCAGCATATAATTAACTCCCACAAGCTTAGCATTCCAATAATGGAACACTAGGTATAAATGGGTCTTACGAGTAGAAATTACAGGTTCTGTTTACAGACATTCCGATTATGTAAATGTGGGATGTGTCCAGGAGTTTGAAGTTTTCTAAGTACTACAGGTGATTCTGATACAGGTGATCTAAGGACTACACTCTCAGATACACTGCTGTGATCTCTTACAAGGCTGCCAAGCCAGCAAATCTGCACAGAGAAGAACCCATACTACAAAAGCAGTTTGTTCAAATATCAATGCTAGGTCTAGGTTGCGTGGTTACTTTGAAATAACTTTGGAAAGCCACTAGGCTTTCCAAAAGTTGCCAGGTTTACAAATGTTGAAGGGTGCATTAGTATTTTCCTGATGTCACCAAATAGACCCTCAGAAGAATAATGGCATTTCTCACTGCAGTCCACATTCCACGTTAGACCTCTTCTACACAAAGTGATTGTCTAGATTGAAGACCTTCTTGGCAAGATGCTACTTCCAGTGCTTAATTTACATTTGGTGAAAACAGTGACGATAATTTTCCTCACTGCGGATTTAGTTGATTTCAAAAGGTACACTTTCCTTCATGTAACTAAACTGAATGGTTTATTTCAAGCTATTCTAAAAATGAATTTAAAAACATCAGACAGAATTAAGCTGAGATATTATGGTTACGATTAGGCCATTTAATTAGACATCCAATCACAATGCAAACAGCTACTGATTAAGAAATATACCTTTTCAAAGGTTCGTATTCTTCAAACAAAACTAGGTCATAAAATGTATTACGTAAAATCAATACTGCTATCTTTCTATTAGGAATCCTATTACTTGTCTTTGTCTTTTTCCAAATATGTAGACCTGTTTAAAGTATAAACATTCAGGCTAGATACTGGAACTAAGCTCTTTTTCTGCCAGTTCTTTCTTTGATACCTGCTTTCTATTACAGCATGATCACCATTCTCTTTCATGATGGACAAGATGGACCTTAGTTATTCTTATCTGAGTTATTTTCTTCAGCAAATATTTGTTGAGTATCTGGATTTATGCACTTACTTTTGTAAAGAACTTTTATTGCTATAAGCTCCATGAAGAGAAAATGTCCAGTGGAGCACATGACATCTAGAATTCACTCTCATGAAATGGTGAGAACACTGAAGGACTTTGTCATTTACAGAACAAAATAATTTCTCCTGTATACACTACTAAGTATACATGCAGTATTTAAGAGAATTTTGTTATGAAAAATGTCTGATTTTCCCTACGTTTAGAGAAAAAATGCAGGTTATCATAACCAAAAGTTAACACACCATTTGTCTTGCAATACAACCTGTGATGACAGTGTTTCAGTACCACTGCCAGACTAAACCTTTAACATTAATTATTTATCAAAATTATACATGCCACTAACACATCTCAACAAAGAAGATTATGTAAGTAGCTGCCTTGGCGTAATACTGAACACAGTAGCTATTTTCAATCCTTCATTAAAATTAGATCAAGATGTACTTGCATTATGTGTTGCTGTTCCTGTAAGGAAGATTTACATTAGTTTAAGACTTACTTAGGATATAAGTGACATTTTCGTTTTCTTCTTTGTCAGAAGAGTCCCCTCCTCCAGTGCCCACTGTCCCAACCAAAAAAAGTTTTCAGTAGAAAGAATACAGAAAACAAAAACACAAACACCTGCCTTGTTCACTCTCTCTTATGCATAATAAATGCTTTGTTCTCCCCTGGGGGCACCTGCCACTTCGTCCTCAGGTTTGGCTCTCTGTCCCCTCCCTGGCCCCTACGATTCCAAATGGTGCAGCAAAATACAACAATCCTAAGGTTCGTAAAATAAGCAATGGGTAATTTATTTTTCAGTGAAAGAAAGCCTTTAAATGTTTTAAAATGTTTTAAAACATCGGACTTAAAAGTTACTTCTGAGTAGGCTGAAAGGTGACTCCGGACGCATATAAACATATCCTGGCCTTCTCTTAATAACTTGCGCACCGTGTTGAGGCCCTAGGAAAATCTCAAAAACGGAGATGCAGTCTACAAACTGGACGACACCATAGAGCATGTTGCTGCAGCCCCACAGATTACCCACGAGGAAATCTAAGTGGTTAAGTCACTTGTCCAAGGTCAAGCTGGGCCAGTCGCTTCTAACCTTTCCATCTCCCACCCAGCCTCGCACCGGCCCTCGACAGCGCAGGCCCCCGAACGGTTCCCACGGATACGGTTCGGAAGTCAGTGGCATGTCAGTGCCCTTCAAGCTACCGCACTCTTATTTGTTCTCCTGGCCAGCTCCAAAAAGTATTAAAGACACTCTCCACGCCTTCTTCCCAAGCCCAGGTGCCCTAAACCGCTTGAGCCCACCGCGCCGAAAGCCGACTCACCCGCAGCCCGAGGTGCGGGAGCCCTCGGACGGACTCCGGCCCTCCCCGCAGTCCCCGCCGGCCGCGCTGCGGCCTCGACTGACGACGAGTCGAGAAAGTCACCCGCGGTGACCGCGGACCCGAGGGGCGGGCCGCGTCGCGCCGCCCCGCGGAGGCGCCGCAAACTTTTCCCGGCTCGCAAGTTGCCGGGCTCCGCGGCCGCGGACCGACTTCCTTCGCTGGCCGCCGAAGCGAGGGGGCGCCCCTATCCCGGGAGGGGGCTGGGCAAGCCGGGAGACGGTCAAGTTGGGGTCGGGGAGGCGCGGGCGCCCTGCACTCTGGGGCGCGCGGGGCCGAGCCCGGCCGCATTGTCTGCGCCGCCTCGGACCAAGCCCGGGCGGCGGTGGCACAGGCAGCCGAGGCGAGGAGCTGCAGTCCCGAATTTGCCGCCCCCTTTTGCCGCCGCCGCCCACCGCGTTCTTTGTGTGTCTCTCGCCGCCCTCCGGCAGCTACGCCGCTCGCCTGACAGCTGATGGGCTCACCGCGCCGGGTCCCGCGTCCTCTCGGCCGCCGCCGGCGGAGCCCGGCCCGGCCGAAGGAGGAGGGGAAAAGAGGAGCGTTGACAGATACTGCCTCGGAGCCGCCACCGCCGGGGGAAAAGCGTGGACTGCCTCTGTGAGACGCGGCTGGTCGGCCACCGGCCCCAGCCTCGCGTTCGCCTTAAAGACCCCATTGGCTAGGACACCGTCCCTCCGCAGCAGCCCGCGCAGCTCCGATCCCGCGCCCGGCTCCTGGCTCCGCGGACTAGCGCGCCCGGTCAAGAATCCAGGGGAACCCACTCCGCCCCCTTCTCCAGCGCCCTCCAATAATGTCGGCGTACAGAGGGCAGTTCTGTCCAATCAGGCGTCGGAAAGGCCAACCAGTCCCCAGGAGTGTAGCCAATAGAAGGCGACTCCGGCAACACACCCGCCCTGATCCGCTGGGAACAAAACGCCCGGAGCCCTGTGGTGGGACCGATCCTGGCGCCCAGATCAAGTCAAGTCCGGCCGCAGCTGTGTCACAAAGTGAGTCTCTGAAGACAGGTCCGATGCTTAAATAACTGTTATTCTAAATCTAAAGAGTTGAAGATGGGAACTGTGGACGCACTACATCTTTGCCCTCAGGTTAAAACGCCTTTTCTGGCCAAAGTTTGTGTATGAAAGAAAGCCGGACAAAAACGTTGTAGCGCTGTTTAAGTGAAGGCCTTTCCTTTTAGAACACTGCTTTACAATGCCTAATCAGCTCAGGTTGATGCATTTAGATCCCGAGGGTTTGTGTTCCTAAGTTTGCCGGAATGTCAGGAATCTGAAACAGGCTAGTTTCTATCCTGCTTCAAAACACAGACTGTCACTGACACTACCATGTTGTTGTTGTTTTTTTCCCATGAATGAAAATATTAGAGTTCTATATGTAAATCATCTTTATTGTGAACTTTATTTCTGTCATAAAGTCAAACAGACTGTCTTCAGTGGAGGCGGGATGAAATACCGGAAAAGAATATAGATACAGATAACATATATGTAGGGTATCTCTATCCATCTGCCACCCATCTATCAGGAAAGAACTGAGTAAAGCACTGGCTATAAACGACTGTAGTTTTTGATCACAGGACCTTGCAAATAATAGGCCCACTAGTTATTTATTTGATTTGAATAGGATGGCTCATTTGTTATTGTTCATATGAAGTTTATAAACTTCACAGTTGTTTAGTGAAAGTGGACTACACCATGACAAGAACAGTATTTGGCAACACGTATTTGCATATCTTAAAATAAAATTACACTTAATTTGTACTACAAATAGTTATGTCAGTTTATTTCTTCAGGTAATAAACTGTGCACTTAAAAATTTTGTACACATGTGGCATGTTCCTTTTTTATAAATTATTTTGATGACCAAATTGATTTTTTAAAGGATGATCTCTGCAATGAAATGAAAGGAGGGAAAGAGAGAGATCTCAAACAAGAAAAAAATGGCTATATTACCTCCTTGCTTTTATGATTGAAACTCACCACGTCTTACCACATGAGAACATGACCCCTGAAATGAAGTTTTGTCAACAGATCCAGATTCTGGATTGACCTTGAGCAAATCTCTTAATGAATAACTCTGTTGTAAGATAACAATATGCCTGGCTCTACCTCCCTCCTTGGAGTGCTGTGAGATCCAACCAAGATAGTGTTTGTCAAGCACTTTACTTTCTGTAAGATACTGTGCCAAATGCCAAACAGTCTTAAATGTGTTATTCTCTGCTTATTAATAGAACATTAATATTTCCTCAACCGCACATTTTTTCGATCTGAAATATATTTTTGAGCACATCAGTTTTCTCTCAAAATAGATCTGAATGAAACTCCTGACTGCTCATTCTAGATCAAAGCAGTACTTTTAGGGTTTATTTCTTTCTCTTTTTTAATGGAGATGATGTTAGAACAGAATAATACTGAGGAAAGAATTCTGGATGGAAAATGTTCAAAAAATTGTATTCACTACTGATTACTCCTGGTATATTTCTCAAAAACAAGATAGATCATAATGTCCAATTTAATACTCTGTTCATAATGTTTAAAAATTTATGCAAGTTTCAATGTATATTGAAAGTAAAGTAAAGTAAATTAATTTATCCTATGTCTGCTAATACAGTTTTAGATGGAAGTAGTAAATGACTAGGTCAAAGTTATACCCATAAATCAAGTACTGAATTTAAAATTTTGGAGGTGAATTTATTAAACATTCACTTATGGCTTTTGTACTTAGTTGTGAAAGAGGAAAATAAATGGGTATTTTTAGATGCCATGTGTCATAATTTGTTTACTTTTCCCAAAATATACAGCTAGTACAGAAGTTTAATTATTACTTCAAACAAATGTACATATGGTGACACTAGCATGTAAGATTTGCTGAATTTAGTGGAACCAGCAGTTGTAATTTTCACCTAATTTACTACATATTTCATTTTGTGAGTGAAAATTGTGGAACAATTTATTAATATTAATTCAATATACATGACTTAGTAAGCATATTCAAGTCAAAACCAGTGTTTGTTAATTTCCTGATAATCAACAAGTCCACACCCATTTATTACATGGAAATGAATACAGTGATTGTCTGGGTAATATTTGTGATTCCACTGTGGTGACATTTCATTCACTAAGTGATGTTTTCAGTTTTTCATTAGTGATTTCCTCATCGGTTGTCTAAAATGGAATGAAAGAACTGAAGCTATTTTAGAGAGCTGTCAGTTTTAGCACATTTTTAAATGTTTACTAGGGAAACTGACTTTGGGGTTAGTTTTAGCATTTGTAAAGATAATTTTTAAAAATATATAGACATCTTTTATAAGTTCCTTCACATGATGTGTAGTAATACAACTAACAACAACATTATTTTCTCTGTATCTTTACATTTAATTTGCTATAATCTTTTTTTTTTTTTTGAGACAGAGTCTCGCTTTGTCGCCAGGTGCCAGGCTAGAGTGCAGTGGCGCGATCTCGGCTCACTGCAACCTCCGGCTTCCAGATTCAAGCGATTCTCCTGCCTCAGCCTCCTGGGTAGCTGGGACTACAGGTGTATCATCTTAAGATTGCTTCATCAGTGAGTATAACAAATAACTGGATTTATATCTTCTCTATTCTGAGAGTTGAAATGCTTCTGAATTTCTTGTCCTGGACAAATCAGAGTTCCACGTGACTTAACAAATAACAGTCTAATTCATTCATCTGAAAATTATGTTATTAGGAATAATGAAATAATATCTATATAGACAGAGTAGAAAAATTATTAACTCTATTTTTCTTCCTATTTCTTGGGAAGGAAATATTTTTAAATGTGCTAAATTTTCTTTCTATTTTATGGATGAGAAAAAAATGTCTTTGTGAACCACAACAGCAGATCCCTTTACTCTCCTTTTACAAACATATTTTGTTGATTTCTTGAACTCAACCATGTAGTTTCCTTATTGTGTGATGTATTTATGGCAGGAAACTTTTATATGCATATGGAATAACAGAAAATTTCGGAAAACATTGGTGAGAGGCACGCTAGACTCCCTTCTCCATTTTATCTTGGGTCACAGTCCCTCAGGAAAATTTTAGAATTAAGTGTTAGGAAAAATTTTATTTTTTCTGAAATGAAATCTTTGTAGCTTTTCTTTCTTAGTTCAAATACCAGGAAGCTTAATTTAGTCACATAGGACCTGCTTTACTGTAATTTTTTTTCTTTTTTAATTTTAATTTTTTGTAAGTACATAATAATTGTATGTATTTATGAGATACATGAGATCTTTTGATGAAGGGATACTTGTGTTATAATCACATCAGAGTAAATGGAGCGTCTATCACCTCAAGCGTTTATCCTTTCTTTTGTGTTACAATCCAGTTATACTCTTTAAATTATTTTAAAATGTACAATAAGTTATTGTTAACTATAGTCTCCCTATTGTGCTATCAAATACTAGATCCACTCTAATTTTTTAATAAACACAATCTTTAACTTGTCATGGTTTATTACTATTCATCTTCACATTATTGGCTTATATATTTGTATGTATGCATTTTATTTAAGGTCTGTAAAATACTTTCTGAAATGAGATGAAATATAAATAAATAAAATATTCCTTGCCTTACATAAATTTTTGAATATGAAGAGTTGAATGTAAACAGAACATGTAGTGAGGACGATATGAAGGATATTGATGATATTTCCTTCACAGATGAATAGTATTCTAATTCACCAGGTATAATATCTCTAAACCTGTTCCAGAGAGGCAAGAAGAAAAGTAGATGTCCTAGAATAGGAGGTTTTATTACATTTATTTTATTTTATTTTATTTATTTTTTTTTTTTTAGACAGGGTCTCATTGTGTTGCCCAGGTGAGAGTACAGTGACATGATCATATCTCACTGCAACCTCAAACTCCTGGGATCAAGTGAATCTTCTGCCTCAGCCTCCCTACAAGTTGGGACTACAAATGCACTCAACAATGTCCTTCTAATTTTAATTTCATTTGTAGAGATGGGAGTCTTCCTATGTTGTCCAGGCTGGTCTTGAACTCCTGGCCTCAAATGATCCTCCCACCTTGGTCTCCCAAAGTGCCAGGATTACAAGTGTGGGCCACCATGTTTGGCCTTAAGTTTATTTTTCAAAGTTAAACTTATTTTTAAAAGACATCTCCTCAGGGACATATCATCTTAGCACTGTTGCAGAAATTCATCTTATTCATTTTTTTTTTGTTTCATAAGCTAGATTTGAATTAACTAGAACCTGTAGGCTAAAAATATCATTTTAAAACAAAATGGTTTATGCAAAATAGATGGTAGTATCCCTCTTTCAAGTCAGAAGGTCAGCATGTAGGAGACCCTCAGTGGAGTTAGGAAGATTTCAGTCATAAGGGATAGAAAACTCAACCTGGCTTAAATATAAAAGCAAAAGTATATTAGTGTTTATAATTAAAACTCTACCACCTTGATAAAGTAAAAGTAAAGGTACAGCTAGCTGACAAACATGGGCGATGAAAGAAGGGGGCCAAAGAAGAAGGCCAAGTAGGGGCATCATGCCATGTAGAGAGATGCCAAAAAACTGTATTGGACAAAATATGGTTTTATCCAACTTTATTAGATAACATTTATTGGACAAGAAACAAAAATGTAAGCAGCACTTCTGCATTACAACCAACAAATCTGAAAATGGTAATATAAGTATCAAAATTGCAGAGGTGTTGAAAGAAGGACTAATATAAGACCTCA